AAGTTTGCATTATGGGTCTGTGGGGACTGCGTAGACACGTAAGATGTCTGATTTTTCTGGGGTGTACTCTAGACCCCATTGGCTTATATATTCTTGGATGATGTTGGCTGCAGTTTGCAGGCACTCTTCCTTTTCAGCAAGTGATCCTTTCGTGGTCCAGAGTGTCATGTCATCTGCATAAAAGGCAATGGTGGGGGTCTTCTACCTCTTGCAATTTTTTTGTAAGGCCAGTCATGGCGACGTCGCAGAGTGTTGGTGATGTTATTGTTTCTTGCGGCATGCCCTAGTTGAGGGGAGGTTCTTATGCAGGGGTCTGGAGCTCTCCGATCATCAACTCTGCTGTGAGGTGGCTTAACCAGCTTTGAATAAACCTCTCGCCGCAGTTGGTGTTGGTGAGCCCTTCCGTTGTTGGCTGATGTTGTCAAAAGCACCTTTGGTGCTGATGGCTAAGAGGATGTGTTCTCTGTTGCATAGAACGTTGCTGAGAACCTCTTTTTAATTTGGAGTAATACATCCTGCGAGGACAGGCCAGCATGGAAACCAAACATGCTGTCGGGCAGCTGCTTATTATCTTCTAAGTGTTTCTGTAGTCTTGTGTTCACGATTTTTTTGTACATCTTGCAGAGCCAGGATGTCAGCGAAATGAGTTTGAGGTTTTCGATTGCCAGCTTTTTGCCTCGTTTGGGTATCATCATTGTTTTTGCGTGTTTCCACATCACTGGCACAGTGCCTCGTTCTCAGTTTTTTTTGATAAAAGGCAGGAGTGCAGCGATAAACTTGGCGCTGAGATTTCTTATCATGGCGTTTGTAGTTCAGTCTACACCCGCCACCGTGTTACGGGTGGTAGCTGCAACGGCCACTGTCAATTCATTTTCAGTTATAGGTTCATCCATTGTTCAGTCTGGTTGTCTCACATATAATGTTGTACATGGCTCTGTGGGAGCAGGATTTACATAGCACTTGGGCTTGATGGCATCGACGAGGTCTTGTTGGCTGCAAGGGTAAGTGTGTAGTAATTGCTAAAGAGCCTTATGTCCCTCCCCTCTAGTTTCCGTGGGGTCAAGGATGGCTTTGAGGATGTGCCATGTCTTGGCTGTACCAAGGGTACCATCTAGGGAGTCGCAGAATTTATATAAGTTCGCCGAGGCGAGTTGCATGGCATATTCTTCCGCTTACGCTGTTATTTCCCAAGGCATGTCCTCAGTTGTCTGTTGTTGTTCTGCATTTTCCAGCAACGGGTAAGCCCTCGTCTGGCGTTCCGAAGATGTAGTAAATGAGAATCCACCCCCAGAATCTCTGTTGTTCGGATTATTTCTTTTGTATGATGTTAAAGATGTTGGCAAAGTTTGTTGCACTAGGCTTACAAGTTTGTGACTGAGTCTTCGTCCCATTTTTGGGCTTCCCTTATTTTTCGCCAGTCAGTTAAGGAAACAAGGTAAGCCCTAAACCCACCACGTATCTTAGGCGAAGTTTATGTACTTTTTTCTCCATAACAAGAGCTACAGTAATTGTTTTACTATCATTGTGATCATGAGCCATTCCTCTTCTTACTGAAGCAGATTTAGCACTGAAAATTATAATGCTCATTTTTGTGAATTTTTTTTAAAGGTACCTAATTATCACTTGATTATAACTGTTAGGTAGATGTCGTATTCCAGAAGAGCACTTCCTCACACAATATTTCTACTTCAGTACATTTACTATTACATTATCTAAATACTGGCCAAAATCTATGATGCTAGATACTGTGGTTGCAGAGAAAAAGGAACATAGTAAAAAAAAGCATGTTCTGAGATAATCACATTTAAAAGTGAAAATCTGAATTATTTCAGAAGTACAACGAGGTAACAGCAAATTGATGAACCCGTTTGATAGGCACTAGTCAGATACTCATCACCAATATCATCTTTTCTTTTTATGTTGAAACGTCTTGCCTGGCGAGCCTCATTTGTCGCCTCCTATGCAGTCGCGCCAGCACAGTACTGTCGATGCAGTTCAAGAGTGCGTAATCCCTGCACTGTGAAGTGCCCTGGCGAAATTTCAAAATAGTTCAGCACATTCACATGGGCTATATTGTCATCATTGAAAGTGAACACAGCATCAATAGTGCATATTTACGGTGTTTGGTGCCCGAGGAAAATGTTTTCTTAGAGCACACTCCCACACGACAATCCAACGACTCGTTATGGTTTTGAGTTTTCCCATGGAGGCATTTAGCAAGTAATTCTGAATTAGCTAGTTCCAGATAATTTGGCTTAACAGCCTCAACAAGAGATGCTGAAAGTTGTTCGTTATGAATGAATGGTTCACTATTCAACTGGGCTTTGTTGAATTTACACCAAGTTTCGGCATCCTTTGAGCAGAGGCCGTGGGATTGATTGGTATCCTCTGATTCCACGTGAAAATATGTGGACCCGACATCCTTCTGCATGTTGTCCAAGTTGGCTCTATTTCTTTTAATGGCCCAACAATAATAGCTTTGATGCTTGTCTATGATGACGTCACTAAGTTGTCCCCGACCAGATATAGATTTTCCGACAGAAAGCTTGATGCCTCTGCTTTCTTTCGTTTTCGCAGTTGTGGGCCCATTCTTCTCTGAATGTGCCAAATCCACTCTGGCTTGCAAACTGTAACTTCTCCATATGGCTATGATGCTTGGATTGCAAGAAATCCCTTGCTACATAAGAATAGGGGCATGGCAGGTCGCCACACAAGTTTTGAAATACTATGTCATTTTTAGAGAAAAAAAAATTGTACTAAGACAAACAAATGACTGATTCTGGTTTGGTTCAGAAAAAGCTGCAGATTTCAAATAACCTAAATAACGGAATGATTTTTTTTTCAATATTTTTGCTTACCCTGTTCTCTTAACTTGGCTTTGCCGATCTGCTTGCATAGGCGTCTAGTCTGTAGTGTTATGTTCAGTATGTAATGATCGCTTCCCAAGTTTCTGAGTGTGTTGAGCCATTCAGCTCGTGTGGTTTGTGTGATGGAAGTGAGGTCAGGTAATGTGTCACGTGTTGAGTTGTTTGCCTCGTCGGTGTGCTTGGGTCTGCGATGAGCGCGAGTTGACACGTTTCCATCACTGTCTCTATCTGGAGGCCTTTCCAATCACGCCTATTGTATCCCCATAGCATGTTCTGCGCATTGAAGTCGCCCATAATGACTAGTAGGCTGTCTATGGCGAGGCAAAGGTTGTCCCTGAAGAGATTGGCAATGGTAGCCCGCCTTTGACGTGGGGGGGGCTGTAGATGTTTAGGATGAAGGCACTTTGTTTCTGGTTGTCTTTATAGATGAGTTCAAGCAGTACATGCAGTACATCTATGCTGTCCTCCATTGTTGTATAATGATGTTTTTATCCACTTGTGGCTACCTTCCACTTTTCATCTTGACTTGAGTGATATGCCTCATATCCCTGTAGTGTTGGTCGTGTACAGTCTAAGAAAAAAATGAAGCATTTGGGGAGTAGTACTGCTACACAACAATAATCGTCATCTGACTTGCTCGCATTTCCTCTCTTGAAGATGCGGCGTTGGCTGCTTTCCTGTTAAGAATGCTATGTCACACTGATAATGGCGCGCCGTTTGCAACCCCGAACTACTGGAACCGTGGTGATAGCACGAGAATAGTACTCGAAGTAGATGACGATTATTGTTGTGTAGCAGAAACACTCACCGAAAACTCAATTTGTGTGCCTTTCTCTTGTAGGGTGATGACCCTTGGGGGCCTTGAAGGTTGAGCAATCAGTTGTGTCAGCAGCCCCTTTTCCTTCGATACCCACAGCAGTTCCATTGCTAGAGTTCTAAGCTTCCTTTGACTTGCTAGCATGGTCTAGGCACGTCTAGAGATTTTGGTTGATTTTGTTTGAGTCTGAGATATTTGGCTTGACCCTGTTGTAGAGGTTATCTTGTGCTGGTTCTGTCGTAGCCTATTGAGTAGTTCAGTGGGTTGAATCTTGTCTTTAGCCTTGTGGTTGCTGTCGTCAGGTGCTTCTATTTCTGCAACTGCTACATGTAAGCCTTGAAGCGCAGTCTTTGGGAGTCGTTCCAACTGAGTGCGTATGTCATTCATGAAGGCTTGCATCTGGGTGCAGATGGCCTTGACGTGGTGTATCAGGTCTGCAATAGCTTGGTGTGGCACTGTCTCCTGTGGTTTTTGTGTGAGTTGTGTCACTAAATTTTTTAGGTGTTTGTTTTCTTGTGCGAGTGTTTGTACCTGTGCGCATATGCTTGTGAGGTCCTGTTCAAATTTTGTGGATAGCAGAGGCTGTTGGTTTTGGTGCGAGTAGGAGGCTGCTGCTGTCCGGCTTACCCTGTCTTCATTGGCTGTGGTCCCCGTAGGGAACACTAGGGAACGCTGAACACGTTTTGCACAAGTGTGGCCCTTGAAAAAGGTTGTTTTGGTTATAGTGCGGTACCGCTTATAGTGCGGATATTTGCGACTCCCGCAACTTACGTTATAAGCGGTCCATACTATATTAGAAAGGCATGAGGTGTAAATGAACGTCCTCCTCACCAAGACAAACCTGCAAAATCGCTCACTACTACAAGTGTCACTATTGGTGGAGTGGCATACCACACTGTGCTGAGGCTGGTCAGGAGCTGTAGATTCAACTCCCAAAGAAAAGACTGGGTGTGAACAAGAGCTTTGAGGCATTACAAAAACCACCAAAATACCGGTGACTCAAATGATTTCAATACTAGCTCAACTAGCAAATGGATTTGGATTTAGGTGAGTTAATTAATACTTATTTTAATATGCACTTGCAAACTTTGAAAAAGGTGGGATAACACACTGTATCTGACCCTCTTGCTTATACCCCATTGTTAATACATATTTGCAAGTTCAAATGTAAATTAGTAAAAGGACATTCTATTAATTTTAGATAACATGCTGCTAAGATCTAGATGTAGTAATCATATAACCTTTAGCATGTATAGAAACTGTGCAAAATGCGGGAAAAAGAAAAGGGATTAAAAGTGACACAATAACCCAAGTACCTTCCAAATGCTCCGTAGGTGTTAACCAAACGTAGGGGCTCAAAGGATGTGTTCATCTGCTGGTTTGGTGAGACAAGGTTGATCACAACTGGTATGCTTAGAAAACATAGGCACAGTGCGAGGGCCATATTCGTAGCCTTCCTTCCTTTGCCTGTAAAGATGGTCAGGAAACGATGTTTCCAATCACTTACATAATAAAAATGGCACTCATAAATATTATGTCAATGTAGCAGGCCTTACAGCAATACTTTCATAAATTTTGTGTCAATGTAGCAGGCCTTACAGCATTACTTGTCTCATTCCACTAGCCTTCACCACCCACTAGATAACACTGGCTTTGCATTTTTAATAGATGAAATCACACTGCCGATTTTCAAGATTTTTCATTTTTATCAATTTTCAAGACCAGATTAGATGTAAATCAAATAGTGCCAAAAGTGAGTTAAACCAAATTCGCTTTGGTTTAACTCACTTTAGGCACTGTTTGATTTACATCTAATCTGGTCTTGAAGTCTTTTTTGCAAGTCTTTTTTGCAATTATTACAAAATGATGTCCACATTCTAACACTTGACATCTTAGCATTAAAAGTGCAAATGAAGCATTTTAAACAAATCGCTAGGTTCTTAACATGGACAGAAATCATTTGAATGTGAAAACGGTTGTTGTATAGCCAGTAAAGTCTGGCTCCCTGAACGGAGTATCCTGCAGCATTGTGTCCCACTGTACTGCAAAAACAGTTACGTTATACGCCTATACTATGCGATTGGGGGTGAAATTTACCAAATGTTCGCACCAATTTCATGCTTACTGAGCTGCAGTGGCAATTTGAAATACTATATTCATAAACGATTTGAAAAATATTTGTATTTACAAATAGTGACTATTTGAGAGAAAGATTCAAACGAATAGGACACTATATCATCTCACTAGCAGAGGGCTTGTAAAATTTGTTAATACATAAAGGCTACCAAAAGTGTTCATTAGTTGTTGCATCATAAAATTCCTTGTACGTATATGCTTCACCCATCCCAGTTGAAATATCATCATCATCATCATCATCAGCCTGACTATGTCCATTGCAGGACAAAGGCCTCTCCCATTTTTCACCAGTTAACTCGGTCTTGTGCTTGCTGCTGCCACTTTATAACCGCAAACTTCTTAATCTCATCTGCCCACCTAACTTTCTGTGTCCCCTAACCCGCTTGCTTTCTCTGGGAATCCAGTTGGTTACCCTTAATGACCAGTGGTTGAAATGACATGCCCGGCCCATGTCCATTTCCTCTTCTTGATTTCAACTATGATATCCTTAACCCCGGTTTGTTCTTTGATTCACTCTGCTTTCTTCTTGTCTTTTAAGGTTACACCCATCATTTTCTTTTCCATTGCTCGCTGTGTTGTCCTCAATTTAAGCTGAACCCTCATTGTAAGCCTCCATGTTTCTCTTCCATAGGTAAGTACTGGCAATATTCAGCTGCTATATACCTTCTTCTTGAGCGATAGTAGCAATCTACCAGTCATGATTTGAGAGTGCTAGCCCAATGTGCTTTACCCCATTCTTCCTATACTTCAACTTGTACTTCAATCTCGTGGTTTGGCTCCACGGTTATTCCCTGTCTTAAGTAGACATAGTCTTTTACAACTTCAAGTGCACTAGTATTATCTATCTCGAAGCGCTCTTCTCTTCCGAGGTTGTTGTACATTACTTTCGTTTTCTGCAGATTAATTTTAAGACCTACCTTTGTGCTCTCCTTGTCTAATGTAATTTGTAATTCGTCCCCTGAGTAACTCAGCAATGAAATATCATCGGCGAAGCACAGGTTACTAAGGTCCTCTTCATTCACTCTTATCCCTAACTTTTCCCATTTTAGGCCTCTGAAAACCTCCTGTAAGCACGCGGTAAATAGCATTGGGGGATTGTATCCCCCTGCCTTATACCCTTCTTGATTGGCATTCTGTCGCTTTCTTAATGGAGCACTATGGTAGCAGTTGATCCTTTGTAGATTTCTTCCAGATGTTTATATATATGCTTTGTCAACGCCCTGATTATGTAGTGTCTGCATGACTGCTGATATTTCTACTGAATCAAGCGCTTTCTCGTAATCTATGAAAGCTATGTATAGTGGTTGGCTGTACTATGAGCATTTCTATATTACCTGATTGATAGTACGAATGTGGTCGATTGTTGAGTGGCCTGTTCGAAATCCTGCTTGTTCCTTTGGTTAAATGAATTCTAATGTCTTAATTCTGTTAGCAATTACCTTTGCAAATAGCTTGTATACAATGGAGAGCAAGCTGATTGGCCTGTAATTTTTCAAGTCCTTGTCATCTCCTGTCTTATGAATTAAGATGATGTTAGCATTCTTTCAAGATATCTGTCCTCCGTCTTTCACCATATCTGATGTTACCTTACCCTCATCAGCAGCTTTGCCTCTTTGTATTCCTTCCAAAGCTTTTCTGACTCCGTCTATCATTACTGATGGGATGTCATCTGGGTTACTGCTACTTCTTATATTAAGGTCGCGGTTGCCCCGGCTGCTGTACAAATCTCTGTAAAACTCCTTCACTATTTTAACTATCCTACCCATATTGATAGTTATTTTTCCTTCCTTGTCCCTTAGTGCATACATCTGGTTTTTGCCTATCCCAAGTTTCCTCTTCACCACTTTGATGCTTCCTCTGTTATTTAGAGTGTGTTGAATTCTTTCAATGTTATATCTTCGTACATCGGATACCTTACCCTTATTAATTAACTTCGAAAGCTCTGTCAGTTCTATTTTGTCTGTTATATTTGAGGGCTTCATGCTTTGACCTTTTTTAATGAAGTTCTTCGTCTGCTGGGACAGCTTTTCAGTGTCCTGTCTAACTACTGTACCTCCAACGTCCACTACACACTCCATAATGATACTCATCAGATTATCATTTACAGCATCAACGTAAGGCTGGTTTCCTCAATAAGAGTCAAATATCTGTAATGAAGCGAGACTCTGAATTCCTGTACTTTCCCTCTCAGTGCTAGCTTATTGATTGGCTTCTTGCGTATCAGTTTCTGTCGTTCCTTCAAGTCTAGCCGAATTCGAGACCGTACCATTCAATGGTCACTGCATCATACCTTGCCAAGCACTTCCACATCCTGCACGATGCCTGAGTGTGCACTCATCATAAGGTCTATTTCGTTCTTACTTTTGACATTGGGGTTTCTCCATGTCCACTTACGGTTCCCTCGCTTTTCGGTAGAAAGTATTCAAGATCCGTAAATTATTGTGTTCTGCAAATTTTACTAATAACTCCACTCTGGCATTTCTAGAACCAATGCCATAGTCTCCTACTGCGTGATCTCCAGCCTGCTTCTTCCCTACCTTGGCATTGAAGTCACCAATCAGTATAGTATACTGTGTTTTTACCTTACTCACTGCTGTTTCCACGACTTCATAGACGCTTTCAACGAACGCGTCATCATGGCTGGATGTAGGTGCGTAAGCCTGTACCACTTTCATCTTTTATCTCTTATTGAGTTTAATCATGATATCTACCACCCTTTCATTAATGCTATAGTATTCATCTATGTTACTAGCTATATTTTTGTGAATAAAGAAACTTCTTTTCTTCTGTCAGCCAAGCCGCAAAGGACGTGCCCATTCTGTAGCACTGTATAGGCCTCATCGATCTTCCTGACCTCACTGAGCCCTATTACATCCTATTTAACACCCTCTAGCTCCTCTAATAATACAGCTGCACTCGCCTCACTAGAAAAGGTTCTAGCGTTAAACCTTGCCAAGTTCAGATTTCAATGGCGGCTTCTCCAGACCCAGAGATTATTAGCACCCTCTGCTGCATTGCAGATCTGACCGTCGCCGTGCTCAGTTGCTTCGCAGCCGCTAGGGACTGAGGACCGATAGGTAATTGACGTATGCACGTGGGAAGCAGTGGCCAGATATTGCACTAGGGTGCCCAATCCTTCTCTCGTGAGAAAGTGCATTACCTACGGTGGTCACCGGTGAGGCCACACCCCAAGCCTCTTAATGCAGTTCCATCATCACGCGGATAATTTTTTTTTAAAATCTGGTTGGAAACTGTGTGGCACCGGGATTCGAACCACCAACCTTTTAAGCGCGAGGCTGGTACACTAACCACTACGCCATCACTAGATCTCTTTCATATGAACTGTTTCTAGAAAATATCTTTGGTTTTAAATGAACATGCGCAACGAATTGTTCTCATTTAATTGTGACATCCTTTCTTGCGAAGACAGAGAGGCTATTCTCAAGATCGGTCATCTTGTTTCGAATCCAGTAAAGCTTGGCTTCAGAAAAACGCCACAAGGTTCATTACTACCCCTGACCCTCTTTAACTTTGCCACGATTGGTCTGTCTCAATGACTGAAGTCCATGGCATTATTCACACTATGCGTACGACATCACCATATGGTGTAACGGTGGCAGCGATAGACAAATAGAGGTTGTGCTACAGGAAGCTACTGAGGTCACGAATAACTAGTAAAAAACCGACTAGTCTTCGGTGCTCCTCACGAAAATTGTAACTGCTTCTGTACAAGCCCAAGTGCAGGGGCCCCAAACCGTGAGATGGAAGCCATTAGAGGACATTGACGTCACTGTTAGGACAGGTGAGGGCAGGTTGATCCCCAGGGTGGACTCTCTACGGGTTCTACGTATGACCATCCAGTCGAACGGCTCCAATAACCTGACGGTTACGAGACTCGCTAGAAAAACTGACAATGCCATCAGACTGATAAGGGTTGCCAATAGGCAACAGGGACTTGGAGAAGATAACCCGGTAAGGTTGGTGCACACCTTTTTGATGCGCCATTTCACTTACGTTGTTTCTATACACAACTGGCAGAGGTCGGAGTGTGATAAACTCAACACGTTAATCAGAAAGGTCATAAAGAGAGCTCTCGGGCTTCCCATGTACACAACCTCTGACAGACTGTTTCATCTCGGCATGCACAACACGCTGGAAGAAATAGCAGAGGCGCAGGAGAGGGTGCAATTCGCCAGGTGTCCTCCATCCTCCACGGGTTCTGGTATAAGCATCCTGTGGAAGCTGGGGATTCCACCGATGGAAATCAAATCTCGCTTCTGCAGCATTTTTCGTCAACAGCGAGAACTAATCACCCTTGTCCCCATCTCGCGAAATGTCCACCTCGAGCATAACAAGAATAGAAGACAGGCCAGGGCAAAGGCTCTATTACAAAGGACTCAGGAACATGCCGGGGAATGTTGCTTTGTCAATGCGGCTCGGTATCTCGAGGGGAAGGCGTATGCGGCAGTGAGCATCAACCATCAAGGGCAATATCACAAACTCGACAACGATCCGGATGACAATGGCTGACATAGCAGAGCAAGCAGCAATCGCATAGGCCTTGCTGGATAACAGGAGGTCCACATTTTACAGCAACTCAAGATCGGTGGTCAGAGCATTTGTCAATGGAACAATATCAAAACTAGCTTTGCGGATTCTTCGGGACAAAGAGATTGAGCCACACACGCTCATTTGGTTCCCAACTCACATAGGACGCATTGAGGGAGCCCCGATCAATCTCAATGAGTCAGCCCACATAGCTGCGCGAAGACTAGTAAAGACGTAGCTATTGGGGGGCACGGCGCTGGTGTGCAGGAGAATTGTGACCCTACCATCTTGTATAACAAGCTAACAAAATATTTTTACCTGGTGTGGGGACAATACCCTCCACCACACAGGAAACTAAGCTGACAGGTCGGAGTGTACCCTAACCCTGCGCTATTGAACAGGATTTATCCCGAAATACAGCCAACTAATACATGCTCCTTCTGGGATAATATAGCTAACTTGGAACATATGTTCTGGCAGTGCCCCGCATTACATTGCGGGGAAGTCATCACGCCGTTCAAATGGGAGGGTGCTATCACAAGCTCCAGACTCAAACAACCGTTATGGGCAGTCCAACGGGCCCGCGACACAGCAGAGAGACTTGGTCTTTCTGTTCCGACGTGGGAGCGGTTTGCAACGTGCTAAAGTTCATTCCGAAGGACCAAATAAAGTTCGTCCATCCATCTATCCATCCTTTCTTGCATTTTCGCTTAATAAGTAGTGAAAATGCATTGCACCCTAGCCTGCCTAGCAACAAAGCGATATGGAGTTTGAAAAGTGCAATACAAACATGTTTATTGTTGTCATTTCCAGCTTAAGCCTAAGGGCTGTCTGTGACAGCAGTCTTGATGCAAAAGTTTTGCCAACGACATTTTTGCCTGTCCTCTTAATAGTAACAGTAGAGAAAAAAAAATGGAAAAATTGGCAGATCCTAAGCTTCCCCTTTAAGAGTTGAATGCGATAGCAATATACTGTTCCTGGTGCGTACTTCAAACACTTAGTGCTTCAAACACACTTGCTATATTATGCGGCTTTGAGGGAAAAGGCACATTGACGCATGTACCTTTTGCAGTGAGTGGCTGAGTTTAAACCATAAGGTCATTATGATAATCACATGTTCTGATGCCCGATGGCAATGTACACTTATACCACACATTATTACTGCAATATTTCATTTTGTATTGTGAAGCATGTATACAGGACGCATGTGTTTGTAAAGCATGAAAGTTACTTTCACTGCATTTCCAAGCAAAGGAAGTTATTTTCCCTGTATTCACAAGCAGAGGCGTGGCTGTGTGGTAGGACACCCGCTTGCCACGCAAAAGATCCTCGATTTTTCAGTCACGTACAAGATGATAATTTTTTGCTAACGATGCCAATGCCAGAGTTTCTGAGAAACGAGCTCTTTAATGCTATCGTGTTAAAAAAAAAGGTCATATTCTGTTTTCAGCACATCATGACGATTGAAGCTTGAATACTTCTCATCATAAGTCGGCAAAAACGTTGGAGCTCAAGAAATATAGCTTGCTCTAAGGGCTTGCTCGAACTCTGACTCACCAAAACTTTCCGCAATCGAACTGACCTAGACTCAGAATCACTTTACTTTTTCTCAACCTAACTCTTTTGGTCTCAAACTCATGAATGCATTAATACTCATCCAGACGCACTCAGACTTGGACTCGTGGCTTCAAGTCTGACGATCTGAGTGATTCGACTCATGAGTCCTTCAGAGTACAATTAGCTTTTTTGATCATGGTGTCAATGCTCTTCAATGCCAATATTTTGCATAATTGGTGCTTTGCGATACACCATTTGATCCTCTGCCATAAAATGCATGTCATTAAAGTATGGACATTTTTATGAAATACATGGTTCACATAAGACTTTTTATCATGAACTTCCCGTGAACTAGTTTGCAGGGGGAGATCATGGCAACCCTCCTCTCCTTAACTCATTCCTCTGGCAATAAATATTGAGATGACACAAGAACACTCATGCTTGAAGTAAACTGTGCAGATAAATTGAACCTTTTCATTTTACAGGCAACAGTTATCACCTTAAACTTTTTTTGTCCTTTATCCTCAGCCACTGCTTTATTACGGCAAACACACTGTGTCATATCTGATAATGTTTTAATTAACTTGCCAACATCCATATGTATGCAAGTTGTGCCTTTTGCACATGGTGATCTTGGCTCACACAAGATTTCAATATTCTATACTGACAGCAACACTAGTGGGCATTATTGGTGAGATTAAAAGAGGTCAGGCAAGCAAGGTGAGTGACACTGCTAGATGGATTGTGCAGGTAGTATATAGAAGACTATGGTAATGGCATTGTACTTTTTCATCATAGATGCAAGCTTTCCTTACAACACAATAAATAAAGTATAGGGCTAGTTAGTTCGGATTCAGACGTTAAAAGTCGCAAAAATACAACGACAAAACAAGGGCATAAAAACAGGATGAAGGACAACTAACAAGTGAAACTTTTATTCAGAACACACATGTATAAAATGCTCAACCCAGAGGACCTTTCGTCATGATAACCGATAAACACTGTCACCTAAGGCAGGCCGCAGTCAACAGGCACATTTTGAAGAAACGCTATCTCGGTTTCTTGTAGCCTAATCAAGGGGTGGCTTATGCACCTAGAACCTTCCCAGCTGATATGAGTCAGTCCCTCCAACACGACTCATGCCTTCGATGCCACGTGCCTATTCATGACGTGCCGCTTTAAGTGGCAGTTTTCATTGCTCATCATGGTGAGGGTTATCTGGGATAAGCATTCAATAACGTGTGTTCTGAATGAAAATTTCAGTTGTTAGTAGCGAATTGAGCTGCTTTTCTGCCCTTCTTCCATGGTTACATTTTTGCTCCTTTTGAAGCATGTGTGCCCTTGACAGCATTTGATTGAGGTTAGTAGAAATAACAAACGCCTGCTATTGTTAACACTTGCAGAAACATTTAGGCTCACTTTGCTTGGCTTTTCTGATTGTGACAATGCCACCATGGGCACACATGGAAATGACAGACAACAAACAGGCTCTACATGTAAGCTGTGGGTATCAGGTACTGGCTTTGACAGTTCATGCCACTGGGGAGAAATGGGAGGTAAGTCTCCCAAATACGAGCTTAAGCAAACCTATGCCTTATTTAGACACTATATTCAACTTTCTTGACTATCTGCCAACTGGGTTAGCCAACTTGCACTCTTCTCTTTCTGACATTAACTGATACCAAGTACAGTCAGCAGTAGCTCTTAAAAATGCGTAGAGGGTCTCATAATAATAGGCTTGAATACAGGCACAACAAAGGAACATTTATCAGCAAAATTGTTTGCCTTCATATGTCAATGGGCAAAACTAATGAGTCACTTACTATGCTTCACTTTTCCTTCCCCTGCTTCCTTTGCCAGCAATGCCACTTGGTTTGAAGTCTTCTTGCTAAACATCCATTTCAGCATAGCATCATCAAAGCAGGGGATCGATGGCAAGATTGTCAGCCAGTTGAGAAAGCTCAGGTTTCCACTCATAATCAGGATCACCTGACAAGAATGAATGCACAACTAGAGATCACCTGAGAAGCAGTGCTGAAAAGTACAAGGAAATCTTCTATAAGCACCACATAAAAAAAACCTTCCTGAAATCTCAGAATGATTGGTTACACATATATGTAACATAAAAATATTTATTTAATAAAAACTGAAGAATAGTGAACTTCTCAGAATGAAGGTCGTCATTTGATTGATTAATAGAGTTTATTGACGCAAGGGCCAGATGTGGCCAAAGAGCGCCAGAGCGATGATAATGAACTGTGCGTTACGCAGTGTGGACAAAACATATGTGACGTGGCTGTAAATGGGCCTAAAAACAGTCGCTGTAGGTGCGTAAAATATACATAGAGTAAAATTATGCCAATGACAAATGATGTGAGCTATGGAGACATAAAATTCATTAAAAATGATACGTATATGAAATAAAAACTTGGCGTGCAGCCCTAGTGCTTCGGCAGAGTCCTTAAAACAAGGGCATGGAGGCCTGGGCTCATTGAAAGCTGCTATCACAGCAGCATCTTCTGGACAGAGGATGCGCTATGAGCTTGTTGGGCTAAAAACATTCAATACCCCATCTTTTAGAAAGCTTAGGACTGATTTTGCATAAAAAAGCGGCTCTTCGCCGAGAAACATAATAGGATGTAAAGGAAGATGATAGCAGTATGCTAAAAAAAATATTTCGTTCTTTCTCTTTCAGCTTCCAGACACTCCAGGAGGACGTGGAGGACGATTAGCCTCTCGCCACATCTACCATAAGTAGGAGGTTCATCGCCAGTCAGAAGAAAGCTATGGGTATCATATGTGTGTCCTATTCTGAGACGACAGAATAGGACATCAGTTCGCCGTGTTCTTGTAGCGGAGGGCCAGTAACCCAACCGCGGCTTAATCAAGTGAAGCTTATTATTTATTTCTGTGTCCCACAAGCGTTGCCAGTGGCTTCGCAATTTCTTACGTAGGAAGGGTTTTAGATCTATTGCAGGGACAGCAGCGGTAGGGTTAATAGCGCGCAATATAATTGACGTGGCCACTTGGTCAGCTAACACATTGCCCTCGATGCTTCTATGGCCAGGTAGACAGCAAATAGTAACATGCTGGTTGGGCATATACGCAGTACACAGAACGAAATACAGCTCAATTATTACCGGATTTCTGAATACTAAAAGTAATCTTAATGCATTTACGATGCTGAACGAGTCTATAAGTATCATTGACTTTTGTATGTTTGATTTCCGTACATGCTTCACAGCCAACAATAGTGCATAACCCTCAGCCGTAAAGACACTTGTTTCCGGGTGCAGTACACTGGATTCTGAGAAGGATGGTATGACGGCTGCATAAGCCACCCCTGCATGCGACCTAGAAGCGTCGGTATAAAATTCTACGCATGAGTAGTTGGACTGGAGTTGTCGGAAATGGATTTTAATATGTGCTTCTGGTGCATGTTTAGTGATCTCGACAAATGAGTGTCACAATGTATAAGCTGCCACTGCCACGGTCGTAAAAGTTTCGCTGTGGGCATAGGACAAAGTTCTAGCAGTGGAACACCCATTTCCTCACTCAAGTTTCTCGCTAGCAAAGAGAACGGCTTTCTCGCAGCGGGTCGATTATTGAAGAGGGTGGCAGCGGTCATATCGTTTATAGTTGAATAAGAAGGATGCTTGATGTTTGTGCGTACCTTTATAAAATATTTAAAATAAAATATTTGAAACTGCTATAGGATCGCTGCAGGTGAAGTGACCACTGATTCGACTCTACATAGAGACTCTGGATCGGACTTGTCCTGAAAGCACCGGTTGCAAGTCGGATACCCAGATGGTGAATGGGGTCTAGGATTTTTAAAGCACTTGGCATTGCAGAATGATAAATTATAGACGCATAATCAAGGCGCGACCAGACAAGGCTTGTACAACTTGAAGAGACACTTCCGATCACTACCCCATGTTGTACGTGATAAGAGCTTTAGGAGGTTCATCGCTTTCAGACATTTCATTTTTACATATTTAATTTGGGGAATAAACTTGAGCTTAGAATCTAAACTGGTTCCCAGGAATTTATGCTCGCTGCTCAAAGAGAGTTGGTCTTTCTTGATCGCAACATTTGGTAGTGGCATTACCCCTCGTTTGTTGGAGAAGAGTACGCAAGTACTTTTCTGGGTGTTCATTTTAAAACCATTCTCATCCGCCCATTTACAGAATTTGTTCATTCCAAGCTGCACTTGTCGTTTGCAGACAGACATATTGCATGATTTGAAACTCATCTGCACATCATCAACATACACGGAATAAAACATCGCGCTTGGAAATACTGACTGCAGGGAGTTCGTTTTTACAAGGAAGAGTGTGCAACTAAGCACGCCCCCTTGTGGAACACCAGTCTCTTGGGTAAATGATCTAGAGAGAGCATTTCCCACATTTACGCAAAAGGTTCCATTAGACAGATAGCTTTCAATTGTGTTTAACGTGTTCCCATGGATGCCCATGTTGCAGAGATCGCGTAGAATCCTGAATCGCCATTTGGTATCGTACGCTTTCGCTAAGTCTAGGAATATCGAAAGTACAAACTGCCTATGAATAAATGCATCTCTGATGTATCTCTCTATGCGAACAAGGTGGTCTATTGTCGACTTCCCCTCTCTGAAACCACACTGAAGGGGATCTAGTATTCTGTTACTTTCTAGAAAGTGGATTAAGCACCGGTTTAACATTTTCTCATATAGTTTGCATAGACAGCTTGTTAACGCTATTGGCCTGTAGCTGGCGGCCAAGGATGGGTCTTTGCCTTGTTTAAGTACCGGGATGACTATTGCTTCTTTCCATGACAATGGAATATACCCAGCTTTCCACATGGTATTGAAGAGGGTTAGGAGTGCTTTTAGTGCTTCGGGGTGAAGGTACTTGATCATTTCGTATATTATACGATTTGCCACCTGGTGCCGAGTTGTTGCAGTACGCAAGAGGTGTTTTAAGTTCAGCTAATGTAAATGGGCAGTTGTAAGTCTCACTGGATGGATGTTTACATTTAAGGGGTTGCCGCTCTTCGCGTTCTTTGAATCTTAAGAACGTTTCTGTATAGTGTGATGCACTTGAGACATATTCAAAGTGTTCGCCTAGGCAGTCCGCCTGTTCCTCCAGGCTCTCTCCTCGGCTACTTACCAAGGGTAGAGAATGTGACTCCTGACCCAATAACTTGTTTACCCTATTCCAAACCTTCTTTTCGTCGGTGTAAGAATTTATACCGGAGATGTACCTATTCTAACTTTCTTTCTTTGCAAGACGACGTGTTCTTCTGGCTTGGGACTTAACCTGTTTGAAATTTACGAGGTTTTCAGTCGTTGGGTAATTTCGGAGTAAATCTCCAAGCTTTATTTTAAATATTGCGCGCTTTCCGACAATAGTTGTTCCACCAAGGAATGCGCCGCTTATTAGTCATTTTGTTAGTTTGCTTAATACGTTTCACTACAGCGTCATTATTAAAATCAGCAATGTCATCTCCGTCTAAAAATGTAATTTCTCAGAACATTTCTCAGTTGGCCGACTTTTGGCATGTATCTTCTTTTGTTAGCTTCTACATAATCGGGAAGTGGTCACTCCCAAAGGGGTTCTTGAGAACGAACCACTCCAAATATGAAATTAATGTACTCGAGACAATAATCAGGTCTATGGAAGAGTATGTGTTGTGTGTAGTGCTATAATATGTTGGTTCTTTTTTGTTCAGTAGACATGCACCTGACGAAAACAGAAAGTGTTCTATTAGGCGTCCTCGCGCATCTAAACGGGAGTCGCCCCATAGGGAATTATGTGCATTTAGATCACCAACGACTATATATGGCGGAGAAAGTTCATCAATGAAGCTTTGAAATTGTGTCTTTGAAAGTTGATAGCACGGGGGAATGTAAATAGAGGTAATTGTTAGTAGCTTCTCGAACAGCACTGCTCGAACAGCAACTGCCTCAAGAGAAGTTCGGAGGTTTAATTGCTTACAGGCAACACCTTTATCAACTACTATAGCGACACCGCCCGACGAAGCGGCAGCGTCGTCACGGCCTTTGCGGAAGATGGCATAATGCTTTAGAAAGTTTGTTTGTGTGGACTTGAGATGTGTTTTCTGAACACACAGCACCTTTGGAGTATGTTTATTAAGAAGTTCTCTAATATCATCGAGGTTATGCAGAAGTCCTCTCACATTCCACTCCATGTAAGATGTGTGTGTCCATTTTAGATGTGTTTTGTGCTGTGTGCTCAAGGATGGAAAGTTAGCTCACGGATCCTTTCCAGGGGCCGTGACACGAGATTTTTCTTTTTTGGATCGGTCGACGGAGTCGCGCCAATCCTTAGGCGCTGGCTGCACCCTCATGCTAGGTGTTGTGTTCATTGCCTCTTGCGTGGCGCTGGACACGCACTCTTGTGAACGCTGCGTTTGTTTTGAGGGCCTTGCCTCAAAACAAGACCTTCGCAACAAGACCTTCGCGGCCCCCAGTCCGGAGGTTGGTGGGTCCTTCTTGGATGGCGGAGTAGCACTGGCTGCAACCGCCGAGGGGGCGGATGGTGTCACCGCTGGCTCACTACGCGTGTGCCAGACAGCCGCCGGAGGCCGTCGTGGCGTTGCCCCCTGATGCGCCACTTCGGCAAAGCTGGCTTCTGGTAGGTAGGACACCTGCCTTCGTGCCTCCCTAAATGAAATGTTTTGTTTTACTTTAATTGTGACAACTTCCTTTTCTTTTTTCCAGCATGGGCATGACCGTGAGTAGGCGGCATGCTTCCCATTACAGTTTGCACAGTGAAGAGAGTTTTCACAGGCATCAGATGTGTGTTCTTCAGCACTGCATTTCACGCAAGTTAGGCGGCCTCGGCAGTTCTGTGAACTGTGGCCGAACCACTGGCATTTGAAACATCGGAGGGGGTTTGGTATATATGGCCTCACTTGAAGCTTGATGTAACCAGCCTCAACGGAGTCTGGCAGTACACTTGAATTGAAAGTAAGTATCAGGTGCTTAGTCTGGACTTCTTTGCCATCACGCCTCATCCTAATTCGTTTGACATGATGACATTCTGTTCGCTGAAACCCTCCAGGAGTTCAGCCTCCGTCAGCCCTAACAGGTCATCATCTGAAACAACGCCACTGGTGGTGTTCATGGTTCGGTGTGGGGTTACTATTAATTTGGTATCTCTGAATTTCACTAGATTAGGCAGTCTCTCATATTGTTTCTGGTCGCGCAGCTCCAATAGGAGGTCACCACTTGCCATTCTCGATGCTTTATATCTTGGGTCAAAGATTTCCGACAAAGACTTGGAAACTAGAAAAGGTGAAAGTGTTCGCACTGGTTTGCCGAGTGTGTCACAGTGGATAACATAGAATCGGGGAAAAAATACTCTCTGGTGACCAAAAAAGTGGAAGACTTCATCGGTGCACCCTCTTTTCTGAGGGCGATCAGGGAGTGGGGGAAGAAACTAGCCATGTAAATGTTTAATTTTCGACAGCGGCGCCAGCTACCCACCATGCAGTCCTACAAGGGGACGCTGCAGGTTCTGTAAGTATAGGCCCTGCAGATGCCAGCTGTACGCCACCACTATAATCGAATATGGTGTATCCAAGGTAGGATAGCCACACAGGGTTAACCCTTGCCGCCAGGAAACACGGAAGTCAATGGAAGTGAGTAGAGGACAGGAAAGATTTAAAGTAAAAGAAAAGACCAAGATGTGAGGTAGAGACCGGAAAAGGCGACTGCTGGTTCCCCCAGGGCGGGTCAATCTGGGGGTGCCATCTACGTGAAGTCAGGGCCAAAGGGGTGTGTTGCCGCCGCTGGGGGGCCTTCCAGATCCAATCACCCAGCATTGGCTCAACCCCAGGATCCCCTTTTCCCCGGACACGGCAAGGCGTTGGAGGGGGCCGAAACCCCCCCGTTAGCTCAGGTCCGTGGTGTCGCTACACACCAAACGCCTGCTTGCACAGACGCCCCTGCAGGGGAAGGTCATTATTTAATTCACTTTTACACTAAACAGCCCCTCAGCACTACAGTATCACACTTTTGAATCCAACAATTCTTTGATATAAGTGAATCGTTTATGGCGATAAGAGCAGTATACTTGGAGACGATGCCTTCAGACACTTCATTGCAATAGTTGAGCATGGGATAAGAAAACTTAAAAGAGTATGGAAGGAGATCAATGAGGAAGGGCATAAGAAGCATGGTGAAGAAGTGTGTGATCTTTGATGTTGCAGAGGCAACAATGCTCCCTCCCTACCCCATGAGCAGGTCTCACTTCTCATCAGCCCTGCCAGCTAAACAGTTGGCCGCATGTTTGAGCATGAAAGCACATCCACAGCATCATGGCAACTTGCCCTCTGTCGCTTGATCAGGAACCATTTTGACAAGGACCAGGAACCTATTTTTGCAGTATCCACACACTAACATGCCTTATCAGAGGTGCAGGAGAGGTTACTATGTTTATTTTCTGGTCAGCCTCACTGTCTTTAATACAGTTGGTAAGACCTTTACGGTTTGCATGAAGGCTGTAGTTTACGGCTCTCAGGATAAAACTGCCGATTCTCACAAAGTGTATAGTTTTGTTACTGTTGTTGGTGCTTTACCGTCACCTTGCAATAGTTTTACATAAAAGAGAGAACATACTACTGATGTTCTTGAAACCGTTGGCTATAATGCAAACATGGTCAAACTGGTTCACTGTGTACTGTCTAGCTATACACTGCAGCTGAACTTTGCACTTTTTCATTTTGACGCATGTGTATTCTCAAGGATTTGTGTAATGCATGTGTATTCTAAAGAATTTGTATAATGTGGAAAGTCATTCTGTTTGGGTGACAGAAACCTTACCATGTGCTTATTCTGTAAACTATATATGCCTTGCTTTCTCAATACACTTCCAGCTACAAGTCTGTGCCTGTGTCATCGTTTTTTTTCTTTATTTGTCCCTGTATGCTAGTGTGGACTATTTCTTTTATTAAAATGAACTAATACAAGCTAGCCCAAATGGTTAGTTTGCTGCTTTGAACTGAACGTCTTGGTGGTGGTAAAATTTTCATGGAGGACACGATATTTCATGAAATGTAAAACTTATGCACCATTTAAATTTATTTATTAGTCATTAATTTGTCGAAATAGAAGCTGTACCTGATTACTGTGGATTGCCTGTGAATTTCCAATTCATCTACATGTGTATTTTTGTAAGATGCAAGTTCAAGGATACAACTCTGCAAAGGTGGGAGGTCTACTACGCTTGAATGCAATTATGACTGAATCCATGACTTTCGCCGTTTCGAACTTTCATAATAACAATCTTGCCACAGTCCCCTAAAATTTGTCATATTAACATTTCACTCCACTTACCTGAAATGATATCTGAATTATTCCACAAGCTATCCTGAATGGTCTCGTCAGGAACACGAACCACGGCACAATCAGCTCAATGATGTGATTCCCAAGGACTTCCAACTTGTGCACCAAAGGTGGGGTTTGGTGTAGGTAGTAACTAAGCGGATTAGGCACTGGTTGTGTCTGTAATTAATACAAGACCATTCATAATTCATATCAGAAAGAGAAAGAAAAAATGGCCTTAACTTTTAACGTAACTGATTGCCAGTCACGACGTGTGATTACCTAGATCCTAGTGGAAATGAAAAGACTGAATTATAGTGACAGAATCACCATTGTTCTCAAAATTACAAACGAATTTGTAAATCTAAACTGTGGCTAAAAGTTAATATATTGGTATCGCACGCTGCCTGGCAGACAAGTCTTGGTACTACTGTACAAAAGAGTAACTTGGATTGCTGTATCGAGTCTGCTCTTGTTCAAGCCGACTATAATTCGCGCTTCAAGTTAGTCTGTATATTATTGGCCATCCTACTTTATTTCACGTTTATTACAAAACAAGATGGAGTTGATGCTGAGAAGCAGCACCGCCTTCGCAGAAACAAGTGAAACTGGCAGGGTATGCAAAGCCACAATAATGCACACAGCGCATGAACATGAACTACCACAACACAAATTTGATAAATAAGACTTTACTTGTTTTCAAACACATAATCACAATAGCACTGAGGATTGAAATATTCTGGAAAAAAAAAAAAATGTTTCACGGAATTTTCTGCATTACCATTTTACTATTAAATACTCTGACTGGTAAGGCTTCCATGGCACTAAAGAAAACACATGTCATAAAATTGATTGTCAGTTCCTTTAATAAAGCCAAATACTATAGGGTTTCTCAATTGTGAGGCACAAATTCTCAAAATAATGTTGTGTTTGAGCTGCAATAAAAAAAGTTTTTTTTTTGAAGGCGAGAAATGCCATACTGAAGGGAAACAAAATTAATGAAAAATAACAAAAACGCTGACCAAGGTGAAATACACAAAACTTAAAAAGACGCTTGGGCTCCCCACACGGGAGCCTTGTTCACAGTGACCGCAAATGGCGTAGTGCGCTCTTCTTATGCATGTTTCATCACGTGTTGCAGACATCGCGCGTACACAGGGGGGAGTGCCCCAATACTTCTGTTCAACGTATGCACAGTAGTTTGAATGGCCAGAGATTCCATGTGCAATCGTGGTAACAACTTTCTTTCCGTGGCAATGATGCAGGCTTTATCCCAGTCGATAGCGTGCCCAGTAGACGCAACATGTTTTGCGAGGGCATTAGAAGCTACTTTCTTGTTCTTGACGTCATTAAAATGTTCCCGGAGCCTTCTTTTGTAATTGCCCGTTTCGCCAATGTATCCATATTCACAGTCTTTGCAAGGAATTTTATACACCACCCCGGGAAAATCATGTCTGTCCAACTTATCTTTGACATTTGTAAGACGGCCTCGGAGCTTTCATGTCGGAACGTGAGCCACTTGTACGTCGTAGCCGCGCAATACCCGAGCGAGGGTCTCGCTGAAGCCTGGGACGTAAGGCACCGATGCGCGTTTTCTCGTAGCAATGGTGTGTGACTGAGGCGGACGCTGCAGTTGTCGCTGCACCGAGTTCATGAAGGAAAGCGGGTATCCGCAAGTAGCCAGCTCCCGTCAAACAGACTCAACATCTTCTATTGCGTCCTCTTCCTTAGAACAAATCCTCCAAGTGCGCTTTACGAGTGTAGACACAACAGAACGTTTATGGTAGGATGGGTGCACAGAATTGAAGCTTAGAAAACGACCGGTGTGTGTTTCTTTTCTGTACACGCTGAAAGTCAGGCGCCTACCGTCTCGTTTCACGAGGACGTCAAGGAACGGATGGCAGCCGTTTGATTCTTCTTCCACGGTAAACTGTATCGCAGCTTCCACGGAATTTAGCTGTTGTAAAAATACTGGCAGGGCATCCCGTTGCAAAACACAGAAACAATCATCCACATATCGAAGGAAAGTCTTGGGCGGGGCAGCAAATGAAGTGAGAGCCCGGTATTCAACAGCCTCCATTGTAAGGTTTGCGACACTAACGAACACAGAAGATCCCATTGCAGTGCCATGCACCTGCTTGTAGTATTTACTCCCGAATATAAAGTAGGTGTTCTCTAAGCAGAACTTAAGCAACCGTAACAGATCAGGAACATCGATGGGCGTTTTGTCCGACAATGATTGGTCTGACTCAAGGGCTGTTTTGCACACATCGATTGCCAGACCAACAGGTATACTTGTAAAAAGCGACCGTACATCAAAAGATGCTAGAACATCATTGTCATCTAGTACCATGTCGCGTACCTTATCAATGAAATTACTGGAATTCCTTAAGTGCGTTTCACTTTTTCTAACGAGTGGCGAGAGGGTACTGTGTAGGTAAGCCGAAAGCTTGTTCAGAGGCGACCTTGAAAAATCGACAATCAGGCGGATTGAGACACTTGTCTTGTGAATCTTAGGCAGTCCATACATAGCTGGCGCTGATCCATTGTTACAAAGAAGAGAGTAATATAAAGACATTTGTGTAGGCGGCACGAAGCGAAAGACGTCTGCTAGCAGCTTTTGGAGGTCCCTTTGAAGTTTTGCTGTTGGGTCGCTATGTAGTGAAAGGTACGTGCTGGCATCCTCGAGAAAGGCGTTAATCTTGTTCACGTAGTCATTCGTGTCGAGCAAGACAGTAACGTTGCCCTTGTCTGCAGGAAGTATTACAATGTCTTTATTATTGCGTAGAGACTTAACCGCCTGAAGTTCTGTTGAGGTCACCCAATAATTAGTGCTCTGACTTTGTACGTTGTTTTTATCTGATGTCTCAGACAGGTTCTCTCCGACATGGCGGCCACTGTGATTTTTTATCACATAGAGTGTCGATTCAGCCAATGACTTAGAGTCGGTCGGTCCCTGCGTTCTTTTGTGCGCTCCCCGCTTTCTTCTGTTTACCCGCCCTGTCGAAGGGGAACATAAAGCAAAGCACGGAGGCACCGGCACTAATTTGGTATCGCGGTAACATGGTTTCTTGCTGTTGCGTCTTCATATAGCCCAACTTCTAGTATAAGCCTCCAGAGCACCTTCTACTTTGCCTATCAAGTTAGCAAGACTAGCGCAGTTGCAAAATGCCTTGAAGTCTCTGCAGAAAGCAACAGCAATGTTAAGCAGTTTTCGGTCATACTGAACACTCTTTTTTCACTCATATTTGATTCTTCATTGCCCGCAGTATAGCGCATATTCAAGGCAGCCAGAGAACTATGTTTGATATAGGAATACCTTGGAGAGAGACGTTGGGTACATTGGCTGAGAAGAAATAAGACTGATTTTGCATTTCATTAATCTTAGGTGAGCACATAAGGAACCCAGTGAGATTTATTTTTTTTTCTTTAGCATATAAGTCAATACAGCACGTCAAAGCTTCATTTTCGTAGTGTGGCTACTGTGTACAAGTGCACGCTAAATGTGGAAACTTTATTGTACCCAATTTAAAATACGTTTGCATAAATTGCTAAGGTCTGTGTTGATGGCATATTCGTCCATAATGTGTGTGTGTTTTGTAAGTTGATACTGTGAACAAATTGCAGTAAAGTAGATAGGTGGGCAATTTGGAACTAACGCATATTGAGAAATTTTCAGCGCGAACAAGACAGTTCTTTGACAAAACTCTCATCATGCACAAACCTAGTGATGGAAGGGCACGGGAACTCACGGAAGCGTACTTCATAAAAATGCGGGCGATGTTTGTATATCTGAGCTGTTCGTTTGCCTTGTATAATGTGAGCTACGTAAGCCTAGTGAATTGAATTTGAATTTTACTTCAATAAAACTTCAGTTGATGCGCTTGTGTTATGTAGTTCCTTCTTTGTGCCCCGTCCCGTTCACACTGAAAAGTTTTCAATGTAAACAAACATAATGAATTTATCAAAGCAATGTCATTAAGGTACGTGTATCAAGTCCCTGATACAGCTTCTAGAGCACTGTGTGCTTAGTAAGATTCTTAGTTCACACAGGACGTCACAAGTGTCAACACTCATCGTGAAAATGCTGTTGAACAAAACTATGACTGCCTCTTGTACCGACATTGCTCAAGTCCTGTGACATTGCTCATTGCCCTGTGAGACCACCTGTGAGGTAGAAGGTATAAAACAGTGCAAATACAGGGTTTTGTGGAACGATTTGAGTCTATAGTCAGAAATGCAGCGCTTGTGTCAATAGTACTTTTCTTGTAACCTTCTCTTTGTGCGGTTTTTACCTTACGCCTTGTATCAAATCCAGCTAGCCCAATTATTAGTATGAATTGAGTCCTAGGTAGCACAAAAAATATTCCGGAATAAGCGAAATATTTCCAGCGGTGATTTTCGTTTCATTTATTGTACCGTCAGTACTAAACAAGGTATTAAGAAGGGTGTAGGTTACAGGTTACAATCAGTAGTTCGTACAGCATAAGTAACGCATAAATGTGCAATACAGAGGAAAAAGTAAATATACCATTACAAAGTATTAAATCAAGCTAAGTTATACAACAAATAAAAAACGTGAGAAAAACAAACATACATGATATGCAGGAAAATAAATGACAATCTAGTTAGCAATACTGCTTAAAGGGCCACTCACCAGGCTCCATAGCAATTTTAGTTAGACAGTGGAAGTTGTTAGGTGTCCGATGAGAAACATTTTGCCACAAAAATTTTTCGAATTGGTTGATCACGGGCAGAGAAAACGGGTTTTTGAAGTGGCGCAAAACCAGGATGAGAGGAGGCGAGATCGAAACCCTTGCCACTCCTCCGTGTAGCCTTTGCAAGCCAAATCTCTTCCCCACCCTCTCAGGCATCTGACCAAGAGGTCACATGCGCATGACGTGCCCAAACAAGTCCAACCCTCGAGCACGCGAGCGGCGTTGCTTTGCTGACCAGCGCTATTTTGCGGTCTTCTTCTGTTTCTGCGGGATGGTTTGGAAACGCTGGCTTAGACACGGCAGAATACATTAGCACAATGAGTGCGCGAACCCGTAGGAGCGTTCCACGGCGGTCGTCTGCTCAATGCGCTGCGTGCGGGTACACGAACACATGCGAAACGCCGGCACATTAGCCCCGCATCTCATTGTAATTCACGGGAGAAAATGGAAAAAAGACGCTCA